AGCAAAAATATTGCCATGCTGATTTTATGATTAAAGCCCGGGTCACATGGTTATGATATTTTATACATGTTTATATAACCAAATTTACAATTACATTGCTTGAAACAAGTTTATTTAGTATATTGCAATTATATTGCAACATAAATTACTATGTATTAATAATTACAATATAAGATATATTATGATAGATTACAAAATTATTGTTTATAAATAAGAAGCAAATCACAGCAAAATTTATCATAGTTAAATTAACACTGGTGAGTGCGATAACCACCATCTACAAATTGTTTTTCAACATCGGTCAATCTGGCGACGCTACGCGTAAAATCACAGCTAGATGTCCAGATACCCTTATCATACCAACCAGTAATAATATGATCTTGGTGTTTATTTAAATACGCCCCACAGGCACCGGCATCGCTCGCTGTCCATAATTTATCAAGTTTCTTTAACAAAATCCAATTGCCTTTATAGACCGTCAACACATCTATCTCGTAATAGCCATAGTCCCCATATTCATCGTCGAGAAATTTCATCTCGCTCACCACACGTGCCTTGATCATAAACGGTCGACGGCAATATTGTTGCCCGATGGTCAGCCTACCAGGGCATATACACGCGCTTATAATGTCGGCCAAACTAATCACGATCATTGTATAGATGATTATTATCAGTTTCATTTTGAAACAATTTTTACACTGCGTTGATTGTTTAATATAATACTGTTTTACTTGTAACACAATTATAAAATATATAATTTATTTTTTTACAATTAATTTATATTTAATTTTATAAAAAATTATATTATACATTATATTTTATTATGTTTTGCTTAAATAGAATTAATTTTACATTGAGTATTCATATTGCATATTCCGGCAACTAGCACGTATTTGACATTTAGCAAGTATTTAATATACGATAGCACATTATTATAATTAATTAAATCTCTGATTTTTATTAATTTAAAAATTTACATTTCACAATAAATAGTAACATAATTTCAAATTAATTTTCCCAATTAGTTAAACAAGTGTATAATTAATTGAGTATTAATAATATAATTTTCAAATTAGTTTAATTGTTTATTATGAATGTTTATACGAATTTAATGTACGCCAATTATAATTAAATAACCTTAATGAATACAGGGTTACTTGTTTAAATATTGACGTCAATTAAATACGTTAAATTACAATTTTAAAAACTACTTATACATTGTTTAAATAATTATTATCATTACTACCATCATTAATATAAATCAAAGTAACATATAAAGTAACGTGTAACACTTTATATTATCACCCCTGGTGAGGACAGGAGGTAAATTCATTTTAATTTTAATTAAATATTGAGTTATTTTATATGTTAAAAATTTATTTATTAATATTGTTTCACCATATTAATTTAAATCAATTTCTTATTTTTATATATCGTGTTAATTTACTTAATGATAATTTATATATTGACAAATAAAACACTAAATCATTTTACAATTAAAAATACTAAAGGATATAAACAATTTTAGTGATGTATATTTTTATTAAATTTTTAATTATTTTTAACTAATAAACATTTTACAATAATAATAGTTAAAACAAAGTTTAAATATGGTTAAATTAAAATACTAATTAGGTTTTACTCAGCGTTTATAAAAATTAAATATAATTAATAGGATTTATAATTATTACAAACAAATAATTCAATTTTTATTAAATTAACTGGCAACTTTATTAAATCATTATAAAAACAACTCACAAATAAATCAACATTTATAATTACGATAACCATGTTCCAAAAACTGTGTTTGATTAGCATCCAACCAGGTCACTCTACGAGTAAAATCGCAGCTCGATGTCCAATATTTACCATCTTCCACCCAGCCGCTAACCACATTAACATGATCCTTATCAAAATATGCGCCACATGCTCCGCCCTGAGCTGGTGTCCATAATTGACCAAGCTTATCCAGCTGAGTACTATCTCCCTTATAAACCGTTAACACCTTTATGTCGTGCCAACCCTTGTCCCAGTAATTACCATCGGGATATTTGAGCTCGCTCAACACACGTACCTTGATCATAAATGGCCGCCGACAATAATGGTCCTGGATGGTTAGCCAGGACGCGCAAAAACAGGCGCTTATTGTATCGATCATGCTGACCATGATTATTATGCCAATTATTACCAGTTTCATTTTTGCTGATTATTAAACACTGTTTTGATTTATTTTAAGCCACCTTAGCACATTTGTATTTATATTGCTAATATTAATTAATTAAATATTAAGTTGCTGTTTAAATAGTTTTGATTTTGTTTTAGAAAATTATGTTTATATCCCGTTATATACTTTGCAGTACTTTTTACATAGAGTTTTTAAATGTCAAATAAGTTTGCATCCAGGATATTGATAAATACATTTTATAAATGTAAAATTCTTGGTATTCTTTAGTCGTGTATTTAACAACGAGTTAAACAGAAAAATGATGGATTTTATAATAAATAATTTTATAATTATTTCTATTTATTATTTTTATTTATGACCATTATCACACATAGTAATTAATAGTAGATATAAATTAAGTAATCATGGTTAGTTAATTTAATGGTTAATTAATGAACATAAAAACCGCAATTACACTGTGTTAAATAGATTATTATAATGTATTTGCAATTAATATTTAATTAGTTGCATTATAAATTATAAAACTTGTTGTTAAAAAATACATAGTTTTATTTTTATTACAAATTAGATTAATTTTTCGCATTAATTATTTATTAATACTATTTATATCTAATGTAAATTAATTTATTCAATAATTGCTAAAAACAAGTTGTTTTTATTATTTAATTAATGCTAATTCTATGGGTATTTATTTAAGGGCACATTTTTACTAATAATTTGACGTAGATTAGTTATATTTATGCATAATTACATTATAAAATATGTTATGTTAAAACATTAAATATTAAGTAATACTGCAAATAATATGATAATTTTTAAAGTAATTATTTTATAGCATAATTAATGCAACTTTAATAAAATTAAAGTTAATGAATGAAAGTTGTTATCTATTTTTAAAAATAATAATTATAACATAAAATAAATTATTCATATTTTAAAATATAATTTTACATGATTAGATTAACTTAATCAAATAATTATTATAGTATCAATATAGCCAAGTATGCTATTTTTAGATTTTTTATTACAACCAAGTGTAAAATTAAATCATTTCTTATTTAGTAATTACATTACATGTATGATATAAATCTATGTAAAAATTCTTATAAAATTGCTTTGAAATTATTTAATCATGTTAAATGTTTATTAAATTTTCCAATCCATTAATCTATAATACATTGTTTTATTTACTTTAACTTATAGTTAGAGAGAGAAAGAGAGAGAGAGAGAGAGAGAGTTGGCTGTATTCATAGATTAGATACAATAAACTCATACAACAAATCACTCAAACAAACAGATCATCAGAAAAATACACACAAAAATAATAAAAACAGATTTTAAAAAATCTCAAATTCTGTGTCAAAAACACAGACAAAGAATTTGCAAAAAAAATTGTTACAAAAAAGTTTTAATTAGTTTTTATTTGTCTCTCTATTTGCAGGCATTGAACCGCTATTTATCCCAACGACTGCTTATATTGTGTACTCAACCGTACAGTGAATTACATACACGTGTTTACACACAATCACTACAGGGTTACCGACTAATAACGGTAACCACATTCACAGCCCGCGCACACCTCTAAATGCCAATATCGGTGGCGGACAGTATTAAAATTATTAACACATCATTTACTAATCACCATAATTATATTAATGATAATATCGTCGACTATCATAATATAACAATGAATATTACTGACTACGATATGTCTATGGCCGCCGAACATGAGCTAGGTGGTTTTTACGATTTGGTTGGTAAAATATTGTACGATTTCCGAGACCTCTACCTACCGGTTCACGGCTGGGTATCGGTGTTTGTTTGCCTGTTTGGCATTATAGCCAACATACTTAACATTATCGTTTTAACCAGGTACGTTTTTTAATGTATTTCATTCTTATTAATCATGATAATTACGTTTATTGACCAATCCAATATAAATTACTGTTTAATTCAGTAGACCGTACATGATAGATTAATTTTATTTATTTACTATAATGAATAGTACATTTAATTGATGTGATTGTCAACATTTATTATGCTGGTAAATGTATTAATTTATAATTCATTATGGTTAACAAATGAGATTTATTCTAGAGTTAATGTATATTACTTGAACTGTATTAATGATTTTATATTTAGAAATGTTTCAATATGATCATTATTTTATACTAATAATGATTAAATATAGTAAACAAATATTAATTATTAAATATAATGAGCATATTTTTTGCCATTTTATATCTATGCTAATTCAAACTGATAAAATAATAAAATCTAGATAAAATTACACCCACTATATCACTAATTAAATAATTAGTTGATTACATCGTAAATTAATAAATAGAAATTTACTAAAATTATTATGCCTGCCTATTATACTTATAACTAATTAACCTTATTTAGTGTACAAAATTTATTTCACCCACACAGAAAAGAAATGATTTCGCCAACAAATGCCATACTTACTGGACTGGCAGGTAAGTGGTCATAAAGTTTATAATTAATTAAACACACTACATTTGTTTTAATTCTACCATCATAATAATTAAAATAATACACTAATGCCATATCATTCTGTACAGTATTTATTAATATAAAGTTTATATTGACCTAAAACTCCAGCCTGTTGTTTACCCGGTAATACCATAATTAAATTATACAAAACCACTTATGTTAGTTTAAGTATATACTGTATATACAGTAGTGGACACTTGAGAGCACCGGTAGCTACTATGGGCTGTATATAATGAATTAGGCAAATACACTGCACCAAAGTTATATGTAGGTTAATATTTGAATGTTTAATTAAGGTGGAAAATGTTTTGTGCAAATATTTTTGGACAGAATATTCCACAAAATTATTACATTAGAGAATTAATACAACAGAATATTCTTAACGTCAAAACAACACACGCTATAAATATTTACGAATAGAAGTTAAACAATATTTTTACACAAAAAAAACAAAAATAATAATAAGCATAATTTTGATACCTTAACCTCCCGGTGATAACCCTATAGTTGCCGATATGCTTGTGATGACCACATACTTTCCATACTCAATACACAATTTCATACGCTATGGACTGACCGAGAGCGAAAAATATAGCAAGGGTTGGGCTATATTTACCCTGATACACGCACATTCATCAATAGTATCGCATACCATATCAATTTGGTTGACCGTAATTCTGGCCGTTTGGCGGTATATAGCCGTTAGGTATGTATGTCTGGCCCACTGTCTGTCTATATGTCTGTGTTATTCTGTTATATGATATACTTTGACATTTATTTACCATGTAAATTAAAGCTGTATTAAATTAGCTTGATAAGCCCAGCTGTCACTCAAATACATTGTATATGACTGGAGGTTAACATTAGTTTTCCTATTGTAATAATGTATTGATTTGATTGTAATATTGATATATTATGCGTAAAATTGCCACTATTTTAATGTCATTAATTATATGTTATAAAAATGGATATTAATTAACTGACAATATAAGATAAACAAAATGATAAATTATATAGAAATTGATTTTTTAGGCTAAACAATCATAATACTTTAGTAATCAATCATGGTAGGTAATGATTGCTGCAACCAGTATTTATAATAAATCACAATCTATTGGGTTAATCATAAATATCAATTACAATATTTATTGTTATAATAGGCAAGCTATAATATGATTAATTAGCAACATAAAATGTATTAAACAAAGTAGTGAATCTCACCATATATTAATAATAAACTAAAACTTTAAATACCTAGTTGCTAATAAGCTATTTATTTACAGTTTTCCCACCGACAGTAAACAGTGGTGCAATATGTCTCGGGCCAAGTGTGTGATCGTGTTCATTTACGTAGCATGTCCCATATTTTGTTTGCCCAACTATCTCACATTTACCATCAACACTTACTATGTGAACCACACCGACATGGACACGTATACGTACAAGGTAATTCAATTTGTTTTGCATATTTATCTAGATTATTTAATCATTTCTATGATTTATTGATAGATTTATTTTGTTGTTGTTTGCGTGTTAAGGTGCAAATATATTGATGTATGGTAAATTTATGTACATAGTTGTATTGTCTGATTTATATCAAAATATATTATGTGTTATATTATGTAAGAATAATAACGATATATATCTATGGCTACAGAATTCGCTCTCAATATATAAATTCAATAAATATTCTGCAAATTCTTTACGTTAAAGTAAATTGAGTTTTAGAGAGAGAGAGAGAGAGA